CGTCGGGGTCGGAGAGCTCGAGCGAGAGCGAGGACGAGGCGACGAGGGACGCGCGAAGGGCGGCGACGCGGGCGAGAGCGGCGGCGCGCGAGGCGGAGCGGGCGGAGGACGATGAAGACGACGATCGAGGCGATGTCGCGGGTGTCTTGGTGCGGGGGTCGGTGGTGCGACCGAGCGAGGGCGCGGAGGGGGGGGGGTCGGAGTCGGAGTACGAGACGGATAGCGAGTACGAGACGGATAGCGAAGAGAGCGACTCGGGCGGGTTGGGCTCGAGGAAAATGTTCAAGCCCGTCTTCGTTCGAAAGAGCGACCGGGACACAATCGAGGAGCGGGAGAAGATGGCGGCCGAGATCGATGCCGAGGCGGCGAAGACCGAAGAGGCGCGAGCGGCGAAGAAGGCTGAGAGTAAGAAGTTGGTCGAGCTCGAGGTGACGCGCGAAGCCGCGCTCGAGCAGGCGCTGGACGAGATGGAACCGAGCGACGTGGACACGGACGACGAGCTCGACGACTCGATTGAGTTTGATAACTGGAAATCGCGCGAGCTCGAGCGCTTGAAGGCTGACAGAATCCAGCGCGAACTCTTGTTCCGCGAACGAGAGGAACAGGAGCGCCTGCGCGCGATGACAGAGGAAGAGCGAGACGCGTATCACGCGGCTCGTTTAGCCAAAAAAGAGGCGGACGAGGGTAAAGACCGGCCAAAGATGGCGTTCATGCAAAAATACTACCACAAGGGTGCGTTCTTCCAGGAGTCGGCGGACGACGCGTTCGGCACTGCGGGCGCGGATGACATTTACAAGCGCGACTTCTCCGCGCCCACCGCGTCCGAGCGCTACGACAAATCGCTCCTTCCTAAGGCGATGCAAGTGCGCAAGGGCACGTTTGGCCGCTCAGGCCAAACCAAGTGGACGCACCTGGCGAACGAGGACACGAGCATGGCGCGAAGAGGTGATGACGACGACTTATGGTCCGGGCGAAACCGAGACGTTCGAGCCATTCGAGACAAGATGACCTCCAAGCAGGGCGGGCTGAAGGACGCCAAGCGCTGATCGCACCGCGAGCGCATCACACCCCTAGCCATTGTAACGGCGCGCCGTCGCGACGATTCCAACTCCCGTCGCGTCCTTTACGTCATAGTTTCACCTTTGGCGTCCCGACCGGGCGTCCGTCGTCACTTCACGCCTCCCACGTCGCCGCGTTTCCGATGCGGCGACGCGCGCGCGCGTGGTTCATCGTCTCCTGCGCGTCACTCGCCGTCGTCGACGCGCAATCGTCGTCACCGACGCCCTCGAGTTCCGCGTCCCAGGCAACTGACTCGAACACAAAGGTGCACGAGTACCTGAATTTCGACGTACGATTGATCAACACCGACGTGAGCGATCAGTTTTTCTCCACCACGACGGATGACGACGGCGCGGGTGGGGTGAATCACTTCGCGTGCGATTTCGGATGCGTGGACAGCGCGGAGGTGACGTTGGAGTTTTGCGACGCGCGCGTGGCGTACTCGTTTTGTAAGCGCGGCGACCCGACGACGTTGGACGCTTCGTCCAGCGATCAGGACGCGGTTGATATCATGGAACGAGCGGTTCGTAAACAGTATTTAAATTTGATGCGGGCGTTCGCGCTGAGAGGATTCGAGCCCGGCGCCGGGTGTCGAGCGACGCTTCGAAGGTGGTTCTGTTACGAGTACTTTAATCGGTGCACGGTGGACGAGACCAAGTTCATGCCAACGTGTCGAAGCGTTTGTGAACAGATAAAGAATGATTGCGGCGAGGCGAATTCCGCGTTCGTGGACTGCGACGTGGAGTACGAATCGTTCGACATGTCGGGATCGACGCCGCCGACGTTTTACACGGGCGGGACGTACGTCAACGGGACGTACGTGAACACTGAAGAAGGGAAAGCGAGCGGGTCGTACATCACCGGAACGAAACCGAACGGGGAGAACGGTACGCTGGTGTTCGAACTGGCCTCTGGGAAGTGTACGGGCGCCGCCGCGTTCGCGAGCACGCGCGGCGCGTTTTTCGTCGCCGTCTCGCTCTTCCTACTCGCGATTGATTAGAACTAGTCCTTAGAACCTTAGACGTGCGAGCTGACGCGCGGATGCGCCACTACAAATTCTCTATCACTCTACGCTAAGGCTATCGAAATCGCCATCGTCACCGCGGTCGCGACGAAGGTGACGACGGCGGATCCAGCGCTCACGCACTTCACGTCTGGTCGATCCTGACTCGCGACGACGCCCGCGTACACCGACCTGTTGCACACGTCCCGCGCCGTGTCCATCTCCCCCATGCACGCGAAAACGGCATTCATGCAGTACTCCCAGCACGCCGGCAACTCGTAATACTTACTCGTGTTCACCGGATCCGGGTCGCACCTGGGAAACGCCAACGCGCACATGTACTGCGCCATCACCTCCAAACAAATCGGATCCGCCGCGAGCTCCGGCGCGATCGCCGTTTGCATTTTAGTCATGCGATCAAACTGCGACGTCACCCGCTTATCCTGCGTTAACGGCGGGTCCGTGCGCACGCACGCGTCGTACGCGATGCCGTTACAAAAACCGAGCTCGCCCGCGTCGACGCTCACGCACGTCGCCCGCTTCACCGTCCCCCCACCCACCAAATCCACGTCGTACTCGCCACTCTGTTCCGAGCACACGCGATAGTCGTAATCCACCGCGCGCTCGAACTGTCCTCGCGCCGCCGTCGCCGACGCCACCGCGACGACCGCCCACGGAATCATCATCCGCCATCGTCGTCCCGTCCTCGCGCGCGACATCGTCGCCGATCTCTCCCCCCGCACCCCCCGCGCGGGGTCCGTCGCGACGTCGCCGTCGTCGTCCGTCGCGCGCGCGCGGGGCCCGTCGCGCCGTCGCGGTCTCCGTCGACGCGCCGTGGTGGTTGGCGGTCGCGCGCGCGGTCGGGGCATGTGTCGTATGAAGAGTCATCAAGGCCCCTACACGGTCGATATTCGGGCCATATGTCGTATGAAGAGTCCTCGAAGCCCATACACGGTCGACATTCGGGCCACGACCCACGACTCGTATGAAGAGTCCTCGAAGCCCATACACGGTCGACATTCGGGCCACGACCCACGACTCGTATAAAGAGTCCCCGAAGCCCATATACGGTCAAATCCGCCGCGCGCGCGCGCGCGCGAACGCACGAAAATCTCCCGATGGGTCTTCCCGTCGCGCAGTACGCGCCGTGTGGTCCTCGCCGGTGCCGAGCCCGCGGCGCCGGGACGGATAGGCCTCCGCGCGAGACCTCCGTGGACGTCTCCGCGACGGCGACGCGCGCGAACGTCGCGACGGACGATCGCGATCGTAAAGGACGTTCGTCCACGTCGGCTCGGCCGCGGACGCGGCGCGGGGGGGGCGGATCGACGCCGCGAGCGCGACGGGGGTGGACGTGATTGAACCTCGCGAAGGCGCGTCGGTGACGGCTCGGACGACGCGCGACGACGGGCGGGCGAAAGAATCGATCGACGACGGGCGGGCGTGGAACATGGGGGGGTGCCCGTTCGCGGGGGGGGGGTGGGAGGCGGTGAAGGCGGTGGAGCGGTCGAGACGCGGCGACGACGCGGGCTCGAGCGGGTTGGAGACGTTGACGAATGAGCTCGTGGAATCGCTCAGACCGACGGCGAAGAGCGAGATGCGACGGCGGGCGGTGTTTGAACACATAAAGGAGTTGGCGCAGGGGTGCTTCGGGACGGCGCATACGCTGGTGAGCGTGTACGGGAGCGTGCCGTTGCGCGCGTACCTCCCGGACGGGGACATCGACGTGTGCTTGCTCGGGGATCATCGCGTGATCGATAAGGCTTCGTGGACGACCAAGTTTCAGAAACACATTGAAAAGGTTGAGGCGGAATCGGATTTCGAGTTCGCGGTGAGCGAAGTGAGCGTGATCAACGCCGAGGTGCGGTTGATGAAGTGCATCGTGGACGGTATGATGGTGGACGTGAGCGCGAACCAATTTGGAGGTTTGGCGTCGCTTGGATTCTTAGAGGAGACGAACGCGTTCATCGGTCGAGATGACTTGTTCGTTAGATCGATCATACTCGTCAAGGCTTGGGGATTTTACGAGGGGCGCATCTTGGGCGCCCACCACGCGTTGATCGCCACGTACGCGTTGGAGACGCTCGTGCTGTACATCATCAACAAGTATTACGCAGAGCTGACGTGTCCGTTATCCGTCCTGCACAAACTCTTGCGCGTATTCGGTGACTTTGACTGGGAGGGGTACGTGCTCACGATTCACGGTCCGGTGGCGCTGGAGGACGCGAACAATATTCCGCCGGGGTGCTTGGAGGGCGGGTTGCTAACCGAGGAGTTCATGCAGTCAATGCTATGTCAGTACGGGCAGATTGAGACCTCGAACTCGGCGCCGGTCGTGGTGAAGTACATGAACATCATCGATCCACTCGTACCCAACAATAACCTTGGCCGGTCAGTTTCGTGCGGGAATTATCGACGAGTACGCGCGGCTCTTCGTCTTGGGGCCCGACACTTGGACAAGTTGATGGAGCGATCCGAGGCGAGGGATGACTTGGGTGTTCTGAAGGCGTTTGGAGAAATTTTCGGGAACATTTTGGCGCACAGGCGTTTAGTATATCCGCTTCCACACGCGCCGTCTACGCCCGGAGCTGCTCCGCACGCGGATGAGGTATCCTTGACACCGATGGGGATGCCGACGAGCGCAATCGCCTTGCGATCCAGGAGCTGTTTAGTCGAGGGTACGACCCCGGCCACGGCTCTGGCGACGCATCCACACACCCGGTCCGTCGTCGACGAGTTACAACCCCGCGCATTGCTCTTGAATGACGAGGACGAGTTGGAGGATCTGGATGGTGACGCGAGCGCAAACCATTGGCCGACGCTGGGTGATCCTCCGTCGCCCGATCGTCTCAAGCGAACGGATTCTCACGGATCGGTCTCGGAACAGCAGCGCGGGATTCATTGGGGAAGATGGGACGTTCTTGTGGATCAGCAGCGGGATATGGATGTCTCCGACCAACAAGACTCGGGAGACACCATAGACAACGACAGCGCAAAGCTCTCGGCTTCACCGCCAGAGAGTGATGCCTCGGGCGATGCCGGGGAGCGCAATGATTCGAACGATGGCGCAAACGACGCGAACAGTTCCCCGCCGATCCCTGAAGACGCGAAAACACCCGGCATCAACGACATCTTCACCGGCTGCTTGAACACGATTAGAGAGCACTTGGCGTTTGGGGTCTATCATCACGCGCGGGCGCTCGAGCGTCAGCGCGCGGGCGCTAGACAAAGCGTGGATGATCGTCGACGTAACGCCGGCAATCGTCGAGGGAACGGCAAGCCGCCGTACAGCCGATCTCGGAACTCTTCGAGAAGCAACAAGGCGTCTAAGAACGGCTCGCAGCAAGGATTTCAGCCGCCGCCGCCACCCGGTGCACCGCCGCCCGGGACTGTGAAGAGGGGATACGCCAGTGATTCCAACCCATCAAATGGAAGTTTATTGGATGAATCACATTTTCCTTCCGTCAAGGCTGCGTTGAACAAGGACACGGCGATGGAGGCTCCGCAGAGACCGCGGTCGCCGCGACCGTCACCGACGTTCCCGCAGGTCTGGAGCGGGGTGGCAAACGTGCCCGCGAAGTTCTTCAACGACGAGAATTCCACCGGTGATATCACCACCTCCGAGATCGTGATTTCCGACGAAATGAGGAACAAGCTCACGACGATTGTTGAGCCGCCCACGCCGCCGGCGACGCCGCCGCTGTCGGTATCGACGCCAGATTCACCGGCGAGACCGGTGTGGGGCCCCAAGGGATCCGCGCCGATCGACATACTGAAGGCAAATGCTGAAAAATCGGTCAACGAGCGCCAAACGGCGCCATCGGAGGAGACGGTGGCTCCTCTTGTGAGCGAGTGCACCGCCTCGGAGCAACACTCGGACGACTCCGCTGGTCCCGCCGTAGACACCCCGGCGATGCCTACCAAGGGCAAGCGCGTTCGCACCCGACGAAATCGCCAGCGAATTCCAGACGCCGAGTGCGATATCGCCTTCCCGTCTCTCAACGGTGGTCCGGCCGAGACGCAAGCCTCTACCAAGGCGCAACAGTCTCAACCGACATCGTGGGCTAAGTTACTGTAAACACACCTCACGCGCACGCGAATTCATACATTTAAGTTACGTAGATCGTCATTGGAGTTATCATCATTCAGTTATAGAGTGTTCTCCCGCGAAGGGATCGAACGTCTTGTAATGCAGCGAGTTTTTTTGCCCTCTGCGCCTCACTCTGCGCCGATCCAACACGCGATGTCCCGCGTAGACGCCCAAGTATCCACGGATGCCTCTTACGTCGCACAGCTCCTCGCCAGAGGCGTAGAGAATCTCTCGGAGGTTCGTCAGTCGCATTCTTTGACCACGAACGTCGTCGCGACGCGAGGAAAGCAGTGAAAGACTGACTTTGAATCGATCGAAAAATCGTTCTTTGTTTCGCTTTAGGAACCCGCGCGACTCGACGATGAGGCCTCGCGAGCGCGCAGACGCTTAGAAGACGTTTCCGTTAGGAACTACCGCGCGTACATCGACGCGGCGAGCGCGTACGCGGCGGTGAGAAGAGAAGCGAAATCGTGCGCGACGCTGCTGGAGACGCTTGAGGCGCAGTTGCCGGACTTAAAGCGTGGATGCGATGCGTTCGAGGCCGGTGCGCGGAAGATTTCGAGCGAGAGAACGATGTGTAGGCGCGTGATGGCGAACTCGGGCGCAATCGGGGATCTTTTAGAGGTGCCGAAATTGATGGACGCGTGCGTGCGGAACGGGCACTACGACGAGGCGTTGGATTTGGAAAACTTTGTGGCCAAGATGGAGGCGACGCACGGGGATATTGGGTTGGTGAAGAAGATCGCAGATGAAGCGCGACAGTCGAGCGCGGAGATGCTGCGGGGGCTGGTGGGGCGATTGCGAGTCGGTATTCAGCTACCCGAGTGCCTGCGCGTTGTTGGGTATCTGCGGCGGTTGAGCGCGTACGACGAGACGACGCTGCGGAGGACGTTTTTGGCGTGTCGAGAGGAGTACATCGCGAACTTGGTGAGCGATTTAGACGATGGGAATTCGTACGAGTACTTGAAGCGGCTCACCGACGTTCACAGGGTGTCGCTCTTCGACGTCGTGATGCAGTATAGGGCGATCTTTTCAGATGACGCCGGACCTGAGGCAAACTCAAACGAGGTGAGCGGATCGCTCCTGTACAGCTGGGCGACGCACAGAATATCCAAGTATTTCGAGTTGATCGTAGCGACGCTCCCGCGAGTCGTCGAGGGCGCGGCGTTGGCGTCTGTTTACGAGCACTGCGAGTATTGCGGCACCAGTCTCGCCAGGGTTGGTTTGGACACGCGTCCACTCCTGCGTCCTGCGTTCGCTGACGCGGCGGCCAATATCTTCGACTCCGCCCTCGCGAGCACTGGAGAGGAGTTCGAGCGCGCGCTCAGCGCGTCGACGTGGTCCCACTTTGCCGCGTCGTCGCCGTCGACGACGGCAGTCAAGCAAGAGGGATCCGACGCCGTCGAGACGCCGCCTGAATCGCTCGCCGAGCACGTCCCGCTCGCCGCCTTCGTGAACGGCGTCTTACTCGCCTACAACGAGCTCAGGCACCTCGTCGGCGTCCTGGACGTCACAACTCGACTCACTAGATCCCTCGAAACCGCCCTCTTCCGGGCGACGTCCACTCTCCTCGCTTCGTCTCGCGCCGACGGCGCCGAGCAAAGAGAGCGCGCCGCGCGCGCCGCCGTCGTCGCCGCGTACGCCGACATCGCCCTCCCCTACCTCGCCCGCGCCTTCTCCAAGCTCACAGACCGTGTGCTCACCTTAGAAGCCGTCGATGACGCACGGAACCGCCTCACGGACGCCAGAACGGTGTAAAATCTTCATACTTCCCCGCCTTCGCGCCGCGCGCGCGCCCGAACACCCTCGAGCCAACACCATGCGTGGCGTGAGATCGCGACGCGCGCGCGCGCGCACCATGCCGCGGCGCGATCGAGCGCCGCGTTCGACGCGCGCGGTGCGCGTCGTCGCCCGCGTTCTCTTCCTCGTCGTCGTCCTCGCTCGAGCGTCCGCGGCGTCGACGACGCGACCGCGCTCGGAGCCCGTCGGGAGCTTTGGTGAGACGTACGTCCCGGACGCGACGTTCGCGGACGCGATCGATGACGATCGCGTCGCCGCGATGGCGGCGGCGAACGAGTTCATCGTCCCGGGGAGCGTGTGGGCGCGAGCGCTGGACGAGGCGACGACGACGCGACGGGAGGCGCGAGAGCGAGAAAAGGTGTTGGCGGAGGCGGAGCGGACGTCGGCGGAGACGCGGGAGATGGAGGAGGAGGTGGAGCGGGAGGTGGAGGCTGAGATGGCGGCAAAGAATTCGAGTCGTGATGACGATGTGAAGGTGGAGGCGCACTCGGAGCGGTTCATGAATTGGTTGGCCAAGCGACCGGAGCGCGCCAAGCGGTACTGCGGAGATGAGGCGCCGCCGTGCGCGGAGAGCGCGCGGCGAGAGAAGATTTTTAACGCAAACGTCGCGAGGGTAGATCGGCACAACGCCAAAGCTGGGAAGAATGGGATGCGGATGAGCGTGGGTAATTTTGCCGATCTCACACCGGAAGAGTTCGAGCACAGGCACGCCACGGCGTACGAGCGACGCGTCAAGGCCAAGGTCGAGCTGGGCGTCGCGGCGCTCGGTGAAGCGTCGACGCACAAGGGCTCGCGGAATTACGGAACGCGTACGGATATGAAACCGGTAGTTGAAGAACGTCCGATGCGAGATGACGAGCGATCGGAGCGTCCGCGCACGCACAGTTCAAAGCGTGCAACGCGCACACACGGAGACGCCCTAGTACAGCCAGAGGAGCCCCCCATCGCGCACGGTGAACTGGACCAACACTTCGCGGCGTTCGTCGATAGGTATGGGAAGCAGATGCAGTACTGTCCGGCCGTCCCGTATCCGTGCGACGAGGCGTTCAAGAGACAAAAGGTGTTCCTTAAAAATCTTAGGGACATCGAGCTGACAAACGCAAAGGGTGGGATGAAGAAGCGCGTGACGCGCTTCGCGGATTTGGAGAGCGACGAGTTCGCGCATGAGCACGCGACGTATGCGAACGTGACGGTTGGTTCAAAGAAACAACGCAGAAACATGGCGAAACTCGGTGACTTGTCACAGGCTGACATGCGAGCGCTGCACGCGCAGCGGCCGCACGCGTTACGTGGCAAGGTATCTTTTCACAAGATCAAGCCAAGGACCGACGTCAACGAGACGAGCACACTCGGTAAGTGGGAGTACACATCGGCAGGCTTTAACGAATCGTTCGATTGGCGTAAGAAGATCGATTTGGGCCCAATATATAGTCAAGGGATGTGCTCGGGGTGTTGGGCCTTCTCCACGGCGCAAGTCGTCGCGGACAGCAAGACGATCGCTTCAGGCGCACGCGTAGCGGTGAGTCCGCATCATTTATTGTCGTGTGACAACCTAGATTCGGCGTGCAACACGGGGAATATGGCGACGGCTTATTCGTGGATCAACGTGCAACCGAAGGGCGTGCTCTTGGCATCTGATTTCCCTGAGGGGAGCAGTTGTGAGGTCGCCAACGAGCCGAGCACTCGAGGAGTTAAGATTGACGGCTACTGTGAAATTCCGCCCCTACAAGGCGTCCCAACCGTGCTCAATATAATGCGCGCCTTGAAGCAGCAAACTGTGGCGGTGGGTCTGAACATCAAGCCATTGCAGCTGTACGGCGGCGGCATCGTGCGAACGCGCGACTGCCCGCCTGCAAGTTCAGATCCGTTGCTTGCCATCAACCACGCTGCGGTATTAGTTGGATGGGGTTACGACGATGAATCGAAACAGCCGTATTGGATAATGAAAAACTCTTACGACTCTGACTGGGGCGAGGAAGGGTACGCGAAGCTCTCCATGGAGCTCGGCGCGGATGGGTACGGCACGTGCGGTTTGTACACAGAGCAGAATTACCCGCTCACGGACGGTCGTGCGTGCGTCGAAGGATCCATGAAGAAGTGGAGCGTCAAGCGCGGTAACGACGTGTACTTGGAACCCGACGATGTCTTGGTGCTTCCGAACGGACGAGGGTTGATTACGCCGTTCAAGTTTGAAATCTTCGGATACGACTTGACCGACGCGCTGCAATTCGCGGCGATGTTTTGCTTCTCCCTTTGCTTCGTCCTGCTCCTCATCGAGTTGTATTTTTGCTTGTTCCCGGAGCTTGACGATGGGGATCAGAGCGAAGAAGTCGTCGCCGACGGAGGCAAGTCGCCTTCGGTGGGATCGTCCCTGTTGCGCGACGTCGAGAAAGGTGGATCCGCGGGATACGGCGCCGACGCGGACGCCGAGAAGAAGTGAAAACATTGAGAACATTGATAATATTATTAGAATCAGTAGTCACGACCGTCGAACCACGCAGCCGACTCCCCGTCGCGTACCTCACGTCGACGCACGCCGACGCACGCGCGTCACATCATGCCTCTCCTCAACGTCCTCCTCTTCGCCCGAGCTCGCGAGCTCGCCGAGGCGTCCTCGACGACGCTCACGCTCCCCGACGACCCCCCCGCGAGCGTCGCCGACGCCCGCGCCGAGCTCCTCACGCGCTTCCCACAGCTCTCCGGCGTGTTACAGACGAGCATATTCGCCCTCAACAAGACGTACGTCAAGCGCGACGACGAGCGCGTCGCCATCGTTCGCGCCGGCGACGAACTCGCCGTCGTCCCACCAATCTCCGGCGGATGATGGACGTCCGCGGAGCTCCCGCCGGCGCCGAGGCGCGACGCCGCGAATGAAAACCTCAAGCGTCCGACGGGCGCGACGCGATTGTTCGACGCCCCCGTCGACGTCTTCGACGCCGAACGCCCTCGCGCGCGGACGGGTCGATCGAAAAGAATTCACCCCGCGGGACGGGCGCGGGCGCGGGGCGAGCGGGATGTCGCGCGGGATCACGCGTGGCGGATTCTTCGACCGCGTCCCGTTCGGGACTAACGGTCGGGCGAACGCGAACGGTCGCGGACGAACGGTGCGCGCGCGATCGTCCGCGCGTCGAGGCGCGATGGAGACCTTGGCGTCGAAACCGCTGCTGAAGAACGCGCTGATATGCGCCGCGCTCGGGTGCGTGGGGGACTCGGTGGCGCAGCGACGCGAGTCGATGGTTCGAGCGCGGGCGAAGAAGGACGCGAGCGCAAAGGTGAAGAAGACGGCCAAGGGCAGAGAGGTCGCGGCGGATGACGATTCGCACGACTTTACGCGAACGCTCAAGCAGGCGATGTATAACTTTTTCTTCTACGGACCGGCGCAACACTACTGGTACATTCAGCTGGCGAGGTGGTTTCCGGGACGGGCGTTCGCGATGTCGGCCGAGTCGCTCGCACCGTTTGGGGCGAAGGTTTTCTTGAATCAGGCCGTTCTGGGACCCGTGGTCGTCGCGACGTTCTTCTTGTGGGGGGCGGTGTGGAGCGGCGACGTTTCGGGGTACCCGGCCAAGGTACGACGAGACGCCCTGCCGACGCTGCGCGCTGGATGGTCGTTCTGGATCCCAGCCTCGAGCGTGAACTTTGCCTTGGTGCCAACCAGGCATCAAGTACTGTACATGTCGGCGTGCTCCATCGTGTGGAACGTCATCCTGAGCCTGAACCTAAACAAGGCGTGATCATGATGAACGCGCGCTCGGCGCTCGGCGGCTTTCGTTTGCGGCGCTTGCGCACGCGGCACGAGGCCTCCTCCGAGCACTCGCTCGCATCGAATCTGTCACTTCCGCGTCGATTTGTAATACTTAATGACGCGCACGCACATCGTTCCGATCAGGCAAGGTTCGCGACACTCACGCGTCGCCGTCGCGCCTTCAACCCGCGCGGCGCGCTGCAAAGCCGCTCTGAATCAATGCTCGCGACATCGCGACGCGTCACGCATCTCACGCACCATGGACGCCATCCGAGCTCGCTTGGACGCCATTCGAGCGCGTTCGCCCGTCACCGACCGCCATGGACGAACCGAACGCGCCGAAAACGGTGCTTTCAATGACGAGCGTTTTAAATTCACGTCACGCGACGCCGACGCATTCACCGCGCCCGCGTCGCCCACGAGTCCGTTCGCGACGGATGATGACGCTCGAGTCGCCGTGGACACCGCTATCGAGCGTTTGGAGGCTCTCAGCACGACGATGCCGGCGGTGAAGAGCGCGTTGGAGCTCGTGGAGCGCGACGCCGCGGGACGGGTCACGACGGCGTCGTTCGCGCGCGTGGCGGAGGCGTTGAAGGAGATCTCCGATTTGGTGGCGAGTCGCGGCGTGATGAACGGGGAGAAACCCACGATAACGGTGCCGCCGCGATCGCCGGCTGGGGGGATGTCGTCGCTCGGGAGTTCACCGAGGATCGTCAGCCCGGGCGGTTTGAGGCGGTCGACGTCGCCGATCGGACCGGCGAGGCGAGTGCGCGTGGACGGTGACGACGAGGACGTGCGAGAGGTTCCGAGTCAAACGAATCGTGTGCGAGTGGCTGTGAACGATCGTGATGAGGACGATGAGGTGTCGGCGGCGCGTTTTCGCGAGTGGGGCGAGCACGTGCGAGCGACTGGGCGAGCAACCGAACATCGCGAAGTCGAGAACCACCTGAGGGAGGACATGATCGAGCAGTACCGTGCGTTTCTTCAAAACGCCACGCCACCAAGAGATCCCTTCATCGCAGCCTTAGCGGAACAAATGATGAACTCGATTCGCGAAAAGGAGGAGATGACGCAGGGCGTGCACCGAGCGAGACAGATGATCGAGGCGCTGGCAGAGTCGGACAAGGCGAAGACGCTCGCGATCGAGCGGTTGTGCGAAGAGATCGAGCGAATGGGCGGTCAAGTCCCGGATGATGTCGATAAATTAGGCGTACAGTGGGCGCCGGGCGCTTTCGACGAACAAGGCTCGGACGACGACGAATGATTTGAAGCATTGCGTTGCTCCTTGTAACACCACGGTTTTGCCTATCAACTTTTCTACGCACTACATCGCTACTTTCGGAAATCCTCCAAGAATACGCCTGGAACGTCATCGATTCTTAAGCAGTCTCGCTCGAGATTGAGCGTTCGTTCGTACACTCGTCGTATTCGTCGATCCATCGACGGCACGCGCTCGCGCATGAGCGGGATAAACGTCGTCTTGAGCAACGCCAGATGGATCATCTCCCAATCCGCGGGCGGCGGCATCGTCCCGATACCGTACGATGGTGCATCAACGGCCAAGTCATCGCTAGTCGCCGCCTCCCAAGGCCACACGCGCACGTACTTTGCCGCGCTCTCGTCGCGTTCGTCCAAGCTCTCGTTTGTCGCGCGCGCCGCGCACCCATTCGGATGAAAATATCTCGGCGTGCGCAATCGCAACATCCGCATCTGCCGACTCAAACCATCATCCACGTTACCACCCCCGTCGTCGTCGACAGTTCTCGCCTCGATCGCTCGAAACAAGTACCGCAACGTAAACGTCTCCCCCGTCTCCGCGTCCAACGGCGGCAGCGAGAACCGCTCCACCCTCCTCGTCCGCGTCGTCCCCCCTTCCCCGCACGCCTCCTCACACGCTTTCACCAGATGCTTAAACCGTCCTCGCATCCCGTACGCGAGCTCCAAGATCGCTCGATAATCGTCGTCGTCAGCCAACGCGTTTCGCAGCCGCCGCGTCCACCGCGTCGCCTCCGCCAGCGACGCGCGCGTTCGCTTCGCGCTCGTCTCGTCTCGCCGCCGTCGGAACACACTCGCGAATCGTTCGCGCCAGTAATGTCGCGCGCACGGGTCCGGGAGGCGGCGCGCGCGTCGTAACGCGCCGCGATAGGTTGCGAGCGCGCGTTCTCGATGCTCGCTGTCCGTCGCGAATTCCCTCGCGTTCGACCTCGTCCGCGCGCGTTCGAGCGTCCGCGCCGCGCACGCGCTCGCGCACGTCGCTCGCGCCCCCGCGAGCGCCCGGCGCATGGCCCACGCGCGACGAGACGTCGAGGCGCAGTGCGGTGCGGTCGGCATTCGGCGACGGGTGCATTCACAGAAATTCACAATGGCGACGCGCACCGTCACGCGCGTCGCCTACGCCGCCTCCGTCGTCGCGCTCGGGTGTTACGGTACGCGCGACACGCGACGTCGAGCGCGCGCGCGACGCGAGAGCCGCGCGCGGCGATGGGTTCGAAGGGTTTCTGCGCGGGAAATTCATTACAATTCAACTCGACTGACGCCGGCGACGCGCTCCGCTCTCGCGCAGCGTTCGAGCGAGTGCGCGCGTCGGAATCGTACGCGAAGGCGTCGAGCGCGGCGACGGCGTATTACGCGACGGTGCTCGCGCTCGGGGAGGTGATGCGACGCGTCGCGGAGGACGCGAGAGATTACGTGTTGGACGGCGACGCGAACGCGGCGCCTCCGGAGTCGATCAGGAAGGCGTTCGCGGTGATGGAGACGGAAGAGGCGACGAAAGTGGTTGCGAAGGTGGCGGCGGCTATCGCGAGCGGCGCGGCGAGGGGGCAGAGCGCGCGAGGGGACGCGGGGGACGGCGGCGGAGGCGAGAGCGGGACGAGCGCCAGAGGCGACAATTTGATGGAGTCGATGCTCGACGTTTTACTCGAGCCGAAGCGGTTGCGAAGGGTGAGCGAGCTCGTAGGCGAGACGAGCAGAAGCGTTTTTGGCGCGCTCGCGAGCGTGGTGAAGGATAACGCGGACATCGTTCGCGCGTTCGCGGGGTATGAGGATCGAGACGAACAGGAGTGCTCGAGCAGCCGAGTGGAGAAGCCGAGCGCGGCGGAGCGTGCGGTGGCGTTTTTGGAGGAACCTAGAAATAAAGACGCGATCGTTGGCGTCGGACGTGAGCTCATCGACGCCGCGGTGTCGACGTACGTTCGAGAGTTGGGCGACGATAACATGTACTCAGACATTTTTGAGGCTGTGAGGAATCCGGAGAACAAGGCGGTGTTCCTCGAGATGATGCGAGCGATGGTGGAGGTGAGCGTGCGCACGTACGTGGTCGCGTCGACGGAGGTGATGGCGCATCCAGAGAGCGCGATGCTCACCCCTCGATTAGGAAAGCGCGATGATTCCCCGACGAGTCCTCTCGCGTCTCGATTCGCGGCAGCGGCGAGCACGCCGATGACGCCTCGATCCGTCGATATCAACGAGCGCGTTGAGCACGAAATTCACTCACCGCATCTCATGGGGACGTGGCGAGAGCTCTTCGCGGCTGCGACGGAGACAAATGAGAGCCGTCGTTTCGCGCTCGCGACGACCGTGACGGCGACGCGAGCGGCTTTGAGCGGACTAGCGAGCGGCGTCTACGAGATCATCTTCACTGGTAAGTTCGCCGGTCATAAGTTTTATATCCAGTCCTGGGCTCTGGCGATAATATTTGCGATGTGTTCCATCGCGCTCTGGCTCTTCCTCAGAATACTCTCGATGTACGCGCTCCTTCGTGTACCGACGTGATCGCGCGTTGCAATACGAAAGGTTCGACTTTGGCAACTGTGACTTTGACCTTGGACTTTGCAATCTGAAATGGTTATAACAACTCTAAATGATCCCTACCAGGCTGAGTACACGTTGTAGGACGGGTACTCCGCCTGTAACGTTCGAAGGTACTCGCAGCTCGGGCGCTTGCTCGTCCAGCTCTGACGTTCGTAGTCGCACTGCCGACGATGTCTCATGATAATGTCGTTCTCAATGCGCCTGTGCACGGACTTTCGCTGATCACCCACTGGATACTTCTGCTCGAACTTTTGCTTATTAACGTAAAACGGAATGTTCATCCGTTCACTCTTCACGAGATGCGGAAAATCGCTCGATCGAATCATCGAGAAATCATCCTCCGCCGGCGTGAGTAACCACATGAGGAGCGGGAGAAGGAGAGGGAGCAGGTGCAAGATGTTGCGAATGATCGTCGCGCCGTCGTCCACACGCACGCCCGGTCCTCCACCGGCGGCACCCGGATGTTGTCGTCGATGCTGATGATGACGATGCTGCGCCCCGAACGGATTCCCACCGAACGTGTGCACTCTGAACCCGGGTCCGCCGAACCCGCCCATGCCGCCGTTGAAGAACATGTTGAAGATTTCCGCCGGGTCGATGTCGGCGTCGAAATCGAACCCCTGCGCCCCGCCCGGTCGTCTGCGCACTCCCGCTCCACCAAAACCACCCGCACTCGGTTCATCGCTCCCGTATCGATCGAACGCCGCGCGTTTTTGCGGATCGCTCAGGCACGCGAACGCCTTGTTCACCAGCTTGAACGCGTCCTCCGCCCCCGCCGCTCGACATTTATCCGGGTGCAACTTCAGCGCCATCTTTTTGTACGCCTTCTTCACCTCGACCTCTCCGGACCCTTTTTCCAACCCTAACACCTTGTAATAATCGTTCCCGGCGCGCTTGATCCCGGCGATCAACCGCTCCTGCTCGGGCGTTCCTTTTCCGCTCGCCGCCGCGCCGCCGCGCGTCTGCGCCTCCGCCTCCTTCGACGTCCTCCCGGTCGTTGTCTCCGTCCTCGTCTCCGTGCGCTCGCTCGACGTCCCCGCGTCGAACCCGCGCTTCGACCGCGACGCACATCGCGATTTAATCTTCCGAGCGCGCGCGCACTTTGGATCGATCCTCAAGGCTTTGTCGGCGAATCTCTCAGCCTTGTCGAGATCGTGTCGCGATCTCGCGGTTTCCAGCGCGTTTTCGGCGACGTCGCAGCATCTGTCCGCCTCGTGCGCGTCCATGATGCGCGACGTCGTCCTCCGTGGCGCGCGATGGAGCGCACGCGGGGCGTCGACCTGTGTGGAGGGCGAGGCGCGCGGGCGGGCGCGGGGGCGGAGCGACGCGCGCGGGCGTCGAATCAAACGCGCGCGCGCGTCGATGGATGCGTTGGGACAGGGTGATTCGGAGTGGGATGTGAGCGTACTCGTCGGTGTGCGCGATTCTTCGTCGATACGCGCGGGCGAACGCGTGGAGTAAACGAAAGATGGTAATAATAACAGCTCGCGCGAGCGAGTGACTAATCGATGCCGAGGCGGAGGGTGACGGCGCTACGGTGGGCGTCCAAGCCCTCGACGGTAGCCATGCGCGCGACGTGCGGACCGAGCGCGTCGAGACCCGCCTTGGTAAGCTCCTGAACCGTCATGTACTTGACGAAAGAGTCCAGGGAGACGCCGGAGTACATTCGCGAGTACCCGTAGGTGGGGAGCACGTGGTTGGTGCCGCTCGCGTAGTCGCCAACGGACTCCGGGGTCCATCGCCCGAGGAAGATTGAACCCGCGTTGTCCAGCTTGGGCAACCAAGACTCTGCATTCTCTACGTTCACGATCAAGTGCTCGGGGGCGTATCGGTTGCTGAAATCGCACGCGGCGTCCATGTCGTCGACGACGACGGCGTACGAGTGACCGAGCGCCTTGGACGTGATCTCGGCGCGGGGCAGCTTGCTCGCCTGGTCGGCCACGGCGTCGGTGATCGCTTTGAGATCCACGTCTGGAAACGTCACCAACACAACCTGGCTATCCGGTCCATGCTCGGCCTGGGAGAGGAGATCAGCCGCCACGTGCGCGGCGGGCGCGTCCTTATCCGCGATGACGAGCACCTCGCTCGGTCCCGCCGGCATGTCGATGGACACCATCGCGTCCGAGTTTTGCAGCGCCATTTTCGCCGCAGTGACGAACTGATTCCCCGGACCGAAGATCTTATCGACCTTCGGGCACGTCTCGGTGCCGAAACCCATCGCCGCGACGGCTTGCGCGCCGCCAGCCTTGAGAATGTGCGTCACGCCAGCCTTTTTCGCCACGTACAGCACCTCCGGGCAGATCGAGCCATCCTTTCTCGGCGGCGTCGCCAAAACAACGCGTTTACATCCGGCAATCTTCGCCGGCACCGCTAACATGAGCGCCGTGCTCGGAAGAACCGCGGTCCCCCCCGGGACGTACAACCCCACCGCCTCGATGGGTCTCGACACCCTACGGCACCGCACGCCCGGCATCGTCGTCACGTCCACGTCCCCGCTCCGCGCCTGCGCCGCGTGGAACGCCGCAATATTATCGTACGCCACGTCGAACGCCGCCTGCACGTCCGCATCGAGCGTCGGATCCGGGAGATCCTCCACGCGCTCCGTCGTCGCCGCCAACGCGCACTCGTCAAACTTTCGCGTGTACTCTCGCACCGCGTCGTCCCCTCTCGTCTCCACCGCCTCCACGATCGGTCGCACCACGTCTAAGATGGACGTAAAGTCCACGCGCGGGCGTTTCATCACCTCGATCCGCCCTCGCGCGTCGAGTTCACGCTCGACGTACGTCTTCATCGCGAATCCCGGTCGCGCCACCGCCTGCGTCGCGGTCGTCGCCCGCGCCGCGCGCGCCCGCGTTCGAGCGCGCGCGCCGGTCGCCCTCGCGCCTCGCGCCGTGGACGCGCGTCGCGCCGACATCTCCGTCGCGTCGTCCGTCGTCGCCGTCGTCTATCGCGCCGACGCCGACGCGTTTCCGACGTCGACGCATCCATTCGCACGTCTCGTACACCACGCGATCGAACGCCGTGGTACACACACACACGACGACGCGCCGGAATGTCGAACGCATTCGCGCGCGCACGTCGTGGTACACCACGCGATATAACAGTAT